GGGAAGCAGGAAGGGGCAGGAGCGCTGGCATGGGAGGCAGGCAGGCGTGCGGGGCGCGGGGTGCCGGCAGGGGCGCGGGCAGGGGAGCGGGAAGGGGCAGGAGCGCGGGTGGGATGAACGCAGGAGTGCAGGGCGCTGGCGCGGAACGCGGGCAGAGATGCGGGCGCCGGCAGGGGCACGCGCGCAGCGGGCTGAGGGCGGGACAGCCACGGAGGCCCCCCCGCAGCCCCCGCCCAGGCGCAGTGTGGGACCGAGAGCTCTGCTGCCCGTCGCGGGACCCAGGGCAGAGTAAGAGATGCGGGGAGCCTGCAGGGGGCGCGGCTGAGGGAGACGTCGGTGGTGGTGGTGGTGGGGGTTTCTCCCCTGCTATTCCCTCCCCTCCCCCTTCGCATTTCCCTGGGTCCCTATTCTCTTGGCAAGGGCGATACCCCTCCTTTCTCGTTCCCTCCTCCCCCGCCCACTGTCCTATCCCCTAGTCGTTTCTGGGGTAGACTTCCTCGAGTGCCCACACTACGCCGAGTACTCACCAGCCCCCTCACCTTCCCCTTGCATCTCTCCCCTCCGCATTTCCTCCTTCCTGCCTTTCCTGTCCTCCTTCCTATCCCTGCCTCCCTATCTGACGAGCTCTTGCCCCTTTCTCATTCCCGAGCTCAGACTGTCTTAACTCTTCTCTCGCATTTCTCGCCTTTATCCGTGTCTCTTGTCTGTCTGTCTCTCCCTGTCTCCCTCCCTCGCTCGCCCTCTTCGCTCTCTCTCTTCTGCTGTTTACTTCCCTGATTGGCGCCCGGCTCCCGCGCAGCTGATGAGCCCTATTCACTCCCGGGCCTGACACTCTCGACCTGCCCCGGCTGATTGCTGGGGGCTGGCCCCAGAGCGCTGATGAGCCACAAGGGTCAGCGGCGCTAATTACCCGCTAATTGCGGATGACTCTGCTCGCCTCCCCCATTCGCAGACACTGAAATGGTGGCGCCTTTTACCCTCCTCCTCCTCCTGATTCCCCGCAGCAGAGTTGAAATCAGAGGCAAAAGTCAGGGCACTTTGGGTTTGATAGGCGCCTCAGGTCCATGGGCAAGAGAGAAAGACAGGCGGGATCTCCAAGGCTCCGTCAATGGAAGATGAGTGGCGAAGCTTCAGGACCAGAGAAAGTCTGCCAGGGAAAGCCAGGGTCGTCAGTCCCTAGAAGACTGCTGCTCAGGTGGGCCAGGGCAATCAACCTGGTTACAAAGACTACCAAAGCCAGGAGAGGTTGGGAAGACTCAATGGAGATAGGGGAATTATGTGATTCATGTGAGGAGGAAAAGCTAAGGCCGAAGAGTCCCGGAGTGCCAGAGCCCAGACAGAACAGATCAGGAAGGAACATCTCAGTGACACTTGTTCAAGTCAGGAGTGAGCACCACTGAGGTGAGGATCAGCACCTGGAGAGGCACTCACCAGAGTGGGGCTGAGGTGAGGGTATGCCTGGAATGACAATTCATCAGGGCGGTGAGCAGATAAGAGTGCCGTTTCATGCAGTCCTGATTTATCCTTGGCTCTACGTTACAATCTCACAGAGGGGTCTGGTGGGAAGATGTTGCCATAGAGAAAGAAGGGGTGCTTAAGTCTGGGAACCCCAACTCACCACTGAAGCACTAGGATACATCCTGCCTAAAGATATTCTTCAGAACAATCCTTTGTTAAATTACCCAAGCACCTCACCATACCAGTATGGAAGACGGAGTTCTTAAAAATTGAGAGGTCAAGTGTTGGATACGTAATAGAAGCTTATTGACTTGATACATCTTGTTGTTTTTTTTTATTGTGCTTTAGGTGAAAGTTTACAGAACAAATTAGTTTCTTATTAAACAATTAATATGTATTGTTTTGTGACATTGGTTGCCAACCCCGAGACACGTCAACACTCTCCTCAACCTTGGATTCCCCATTTCCATTTGTCCAGCTTTCCTGTCCCCTCCTGCCTTCTCCTTCTTGCCCCTGGGCTGGTGTGCCCATTTAGTCTGGTATATATGGTTAAACTACGTATGTTATTGTTTGTTTATAGGCCTGTCTAACCTTTGGCTGAAGGCTGAACCTCAGAAATGACTTCAGTACTGAGTTAAAAGGGTGTCTGGGGTAACTTGATACATTGAGGGAACTCTGGGCTACAGTAACTGCAACTAAAGCTGTATGAGCAGTTACAGCACCAACAAATAAGGCATGAAGGAAGGGCCTTTTAAAAAAATTTTTATTTTTATTGTTCTGCTTTAAGTGAAAGTTTACAATTCAGGTTAGTCTCTCATACAAAAATTTATACATACATTGTTACGTGACCCTAGTTGCTCTCCCTATACTGTGACAGCACACTCCTCCTTTCCACCCTGAATTTCCTGTGTCCATTCAACCAGCTCCTAACCCTCTCTGCTTTCTCATCTCGCCTCCGGACAGAAGCTGCACATTTAGTCTCATGTATCTGCTTAAGCTAAGAAGCATACTCTTCATGAGTATCATTTTATGTCCCATAGTCCAGTCTAATCTTTGTCTGAAGAGTTGGCCTCGGGAGTGGTTTTAGTTTTGGGCTAACAGAGAGTCCGGGGGCCGTGTCTTCCAGGGTCCCTCCAGTCTCAATCAAACCGTTAAGTCTGGTCTTTTTACTAGAGTTTGAGTTCTGCACACCCACTTTTCTCCTGCTCCGTCGGGGACTCTCTGTTGTGTTCCCTGTCAGGGTAGTCATTGGTGGTAGCTGGACACCATCTAGTTCTGGTCTTAGGCTGATGAAGTCTCTGGTTTATGTGGCCGGACGGGCCATTTTAAAATGTTTAACTTCATTCATTTTGTTGTGTAGGCAATAAAATAACACAAAATTCCAAAAGCTCAAAAGCATCTCTCCCCTACCAGGCCCTCCCCTCCCCCTAGTATTGACCTGATGTGGTGTGTGTTTGTCAGATACTGTATTTTATAATCTGTTTACATGGTCAGTCTGTTACTATGCATGCCCTTGCCAGCCGGGGCCATGAAGTGTGACTTCTGCACAGCCCTTGGCATTCAGTAACTAACCTGGGTAACTGCAGTAGCCCGCCTCCCTTCCGGTTCCTTTCAGGAAGCATGGAACCTAGGCACCATGGTGGCTATTAACATCTGCTCTGCCTAGTCAAAGAGCAGATGCGAGGATCAAGTGAATAGGAGAAAACACCTTTCAAAATGAGCCCTCACTGTCCTAAAGGACAAAGAACAGTGGCCAAGAAGGAAATTCACCTTCCCCCAGTCAGCGAGCGCCAGAAACAGCTTCCTACTCTCCCATCAGTACCAAGGACAGAACCTGTCGTGATTTAGTCTGAATGAGGCTCGCCTCTTTCTTTTACCCATTGCCATCGAGTTGATTAGACCCTAGAGCGACCCTATAGGGCAGAGCCGAACTGCCCTACAAGGTTTCCAAGGCTGTCATCTTTTCAAACCGCCGACCTTTCACCTTTCAGTTCGAAGCCGGGCGCTTTAACCACTGCGCCACCAAGGCTCCTTCGGTTCTTTCTTTACCAGGAGCCAAATCCCTGGTTCTCCCTCTGAAGCCTGAGGAGGCCCATAGCGGGCAAGCTCCTCACCCCATTGTCTAAAGTGCACCTCTAGTTGCCCCTGCTCTGATCGGCCCTCTCTCGTGGCCCCACCGGCTGGGGGAACGCCTGAAAGAGGAATTATATTTGGAATCTATGCTTTCAGTTTGTGCCTATGTCCCGGACTCCATCATCTGGCCTCCCCCTCATAGACTGGAAGCCAGCACCTAGGATGTCAAGAAAGAAGTATCCTCACATCAAAGCCGCCGGAACGCTACCTCTCACTCCACTATTGGCTAGAGAGGCAGCTTGCGCGGGCCGTGTCGGGGGCCCTGTCCGCGGGCGCCCTCTGGTGGCTTCAGTGCACAACTGCAGCCACCACGTGCGCCGTGCGGAGTTCTGTAGCGCCCCCTGGTGTGACTGAGGGGCGAAGGAGTAGGATAGGTGAGCGTCCCAGGGCGAGGACACCCGGCGCTTCTGGGCACTTTACTGTGAGTACGCTGGTAGGCGGGGATTGTACATGCGTGTTTTAAAGTCCAGTGTGCATGTGCACAGGGACATGTATGCTTGCGTGTCCAGGTACTTGAATCTCTCTGTGTCTGTTGGGTTGAACGCTTGCTGTATGCGTGTGCGCCTTACTCGCGGGTATCTTGGTGGTGGGGAGGTCCGGGCCTCCAGTGCAGGACGGAGTTCTCACGGAGGCGGCAAATTGGTTTGGAGCAAACACATTACCGAAAGCAATTACCGGGGAGAGGTTCTGGGCCCGCGAGACTAACGGCTGGGAGGCTGGGGAGGAAGCTCCCTGGCTTGCAAGAGTGTCTCGATGTCTAACTCCACTCAGCAGAGACGGCTGAAGTTAGGCAGTAGTTCTCTAATACTGACTACTCCGCAAGACCTCCCACACTTCCCCCCTTAAAAAAGTTTCCATGAGGATACAACCCTCTCGAGAGAAGAGCTGAACCCCCTCCTTCCCACCACTTTACCTTGCTACCACTTGAAGGAGAGGCAGCCTCCTCTGTGAGGTCTTCCCGGATCCCTGTCCTCCTCCTCACGCCCTCAGTTCCGCTGCCACGTTTATTTTGCATTCAATTCCTTGGGTCTTGCATTCTGACTAGCTGTCCACACACTGGTTTCTCAGACTAGATTGGAAATTCGCCGGGGCAGGAACGTGTGCCATTGAGAGCCATATGTGCAGCACCTACAACCTGGGACTCGGGAAGCACAGAATGATATCTCCCACATGCCAATGATCCCCACAATTTCCATCCCCAAACTCCAAAGTCATTATCCAAATGACCTTTAAACACAGCCTCTTTGAGATGACCAGTAGGAATCGCAAATTTAACATATCCAAAACAGGTTTTTTACCCGCCCCCAGCCTTCTCATCTTCGCCATCTTCGTAATGGGCCCACCCACTGTTCAGTTGCTGAAGCCAAAAACTGAGGTCATCCTGGATTATTCTTTCTCTCAGCCCCCTACATCCACACTGTCAGCAAGTCCCATCAATTCTCCAGAAAGGACCCCAAATCTCGCCTACCATGACCTCATCTCTTGCCTGGACTACTGCAGTAGTCTCCTAACTGGTCTCTGATTCTGTATCTCCACACCCCACCCCACCCCCAACCATTCAGCAGCCAAAGTGATCTTTTTTTAACCCGCAAAATTTTTTATATAAAAATATCTAACAAAAAATTTCCATTTGAACCATTTTTTAAGTGTACCATTCAGTGACATTAATCACACTCACCATTTTGTGCTATTATCACCACTATCCCTTTCCAAAAGTTTTCAACGCCCCAAACAGAAACTCAGTGCCCCTTAAGGGGTAACTCCCCACTGCCCACCCCCCCAGTCCCTGGTAATGATTAATAAATAAACTTTGGTCTCTGTGCATTTGCCTATTCTGATATTTCATAGAAGTGGGATCATACAATCCAAAGTTATCATTTAAAACCTAAATTAGTCATGTCATTCCCTACTTAGAGCCCTCTGATCGTTTCCAGTCCAGGTTGCCTCTGACTGGCTGCTCTTCCCCACTAGTCACATCCCTTGTCCTTCAGGGCTCAGGTAAATATCACCTCCTCAGAGAGCAGACTTTCTGCCACCCAATCTAAAATAGCGCAGCCACTCTCTGTCCCATCATCCTTTTACATTTCTCTACACAGCACTTATCACTATCTGATATTTCAGTGTCTCCCTCTCCCCACCAGAAAGTGAACTTTTGTGAGGACTAGAGAGCAAGGACTTTGGACCCCTATATCTGCAGTGCCCAGAATATACAGGCACTCAATAGGTGTTGAACAGACCAGTGAATAATAGGGCATCCTCCCCAGGATCCCCACCCTGGGACAAGATAGGGATCGCTGAGAAAGGCCCTGAGCAGGTCTTGACAGTGAGCAGAACTCAACATCACAGGGTTTCCCCAGCACAAGCCTCACAGAAAATGTCCTCCTGACCCTTGTTTCCCATCACACACCCTGAGACAGGCCAGCCTTACTCCTTTTTGGTATTTTTAGGTGTGGCCTGTGGGTTTCTTGAGTTTCTACAGCTGAGGCGGCAAGGCCATAGTCAGGCCCAACTGCTTGGGGACCTGGGCTCCAGGCCTGGACCCTCCTACTGGGCAGTTGCTCCCTTTCTAGAAAAAGCCCCCCTGCGGCCTTCAACCCACGCTGGACCTGTCTTAGTGCCCTAGTGCTGCTGTAACAGAAATACTACAGGCGGGTGGCTTTAAAGAACAGAAATTTATTTTCTCACAGTCCTAGAGGCTACAAGTCCAAATCAGGGTCTCATGTGCGTTGATTCTCCCCTTGTCGGTAGCCCCAGGCGTTCCTTGGTTCCTTGGTGATCCTCACATGGCATCTGTCTTCCCCTGTGTGTTCAGGTCTGTGTCTAATCTGCCCTATTACTCAGATGTGATTAGGTTTAGGGGCCTTCCTACTTGAGTATGATCTAATTAACATAATAAAGAAATTTCTATTTCCAAACAGGCTTACATCCACAAGTACAGGGGTTAGGATTCCAACACATATTTTAGGGGGCACAATTTAATACATAACAGAGTCCCAGCACCTGGAAGCCCAGACAGGAGTGTCAGCCCAAGCCCCGTGAGGCCACGGTGAGAACCAGGTTCCCGTCCCCATTCCTCCTCTTCTGCCCTCCCACTGCCCTTTCTGAACCAAGGACACCCTTGACATCACAGAACCAGTGCCCATGATTGGCTGCTCTGGCTCCCCATAAAGCCAGCCCCTCTGCCTGTAGGGCTATCTGTAGGTTCCAGGGCTGCAAGGATCCTTAGGGACACTTGCCCTCTGCCTTGTTTTACCGGTGCAGAAACGAGCCCAGAGACATGTCCCACAAGTTAAGAGCAAGGCTAGGGCTAGAACCCCAATCCTACAGTTCTCACTTCCACGCCCTCTCCACTGCAAAGCCACATTTGAGGAAGGAGCAGCGAGAGGCTCCCTGACTGACTCATGTTCTCAGGAAGCAGGATAATTTGATGTCATTTTCCTAAACCTGGCCCTTACTTCTCACCCACAGCACCCGTTTGACCCATTTCCCACTGGTTTCCCTGCCACTCCCTCTTGCCTCCTTATCTGCAGGCTTCCTTCACCACCCCACCACGACTCAGTCCTCCCCATCCATCCCCCTCTCTCCTTTAGGCCCTTCCTGACACTATCTCACCTGATAGCCATTCCACCAATTCAAGGGGCAGAAGGGGAGGCTGCCTGCGGTCCTCAAGAGCTGGTGGATCTCACAGGAGAAGGGACTCCTGTACATCTGTCCACCCAAAGTTTCCCATCCTGATGACTCTGAGGCAGAGCCGCTCAGACAGCCGCACACAGCACAGGCCTGGAGACTTTCCTGTGCACAGGGATTTCTGACACAGGGATGGGCTTGAGGGGGCCTCAGGAGTCAAAAGCCCAAGAGACCCTAAAGGAGAATGTGTCCCTTGCCACGAGTCCTGCTGTCCTCCCCACACACAGCTTGTCACCATGGCCTCTCTGTCTCTCTCCGGCGGAATCAGCACTGCTCTTCCTGTGGACACGGGCCTCCAGCTGACAGGGCCAGTCCGCCTCACGTGGCTCACGCTCAGGCCCAGGTTCCGGCCTAGCGAGAGGCAGGCAGGCGCACTCTGGGGGCATCTGCTCCCAGGCTTGAGAAGAAGTGTGGGGAAGGAGAGGTCAGCGCAGCTGGTGGCCCAGGAGGCTGGCTGGTGACCGGCCCCCAACGCAGGACTCACTAGTAGAGCACATCCTCGAACTCAAGCTGCAAGTAGCGGAGCAGGCGGGGCGGCAGGGGCAGACAGGGCAGGGCCTGGGGCAGGCGGGCAGCCAGGTGGGCGCGCAGTGCACAGCGGCTCAGGTGCTGCAGTGATCTCGGCTGCCTCGCCAGGGCAAAGAGCGACGAGTAGAAACGGCAGTGCTCCTGGGGACAAACACGGGCTCAGCAGGCGGCTGTGGGCACACACTTCTCCTCAAGGAGTGAATGCTCGGGTGTTCACACTGGGCTTTCTTATTGTGAGATGTGAGGGGTCTCTGGGTGACTGCTGGGGAATGAGCGGGGCCGGTGGGCTTCCCTGTAGGAGGTGGGCATCTCTTGGGGTCGGGCTGAGTGGTCTGCATTAAGGGAGCAGAGGTCTCCCACAACGCTCCTGGAGCCTGACTGACCTGCAGTGTTTCCGGTGGAACCAGGCCCACGGCCTCCTCGGGAAGCTGCACGATACAGTAGGTGTTCATTAGCACCTCAATGGTCCTTGGGGACGTGGACCAGCGCTCCAGTACCTGCAGGGGAGAGCTGCATCAGCCTGTGCGGCCAACCACCCTGCACGCCAGATACTTTTCTCAGCACTTCACGTGTCTTTCATCCCATTTTTACAGGGTAAGGACTGTTATACCCATTTTACAGATAAGGGAAGCTGAGGCACAGCGGGATGACTCAGATCACACAGTAAGTTGTAGTTCCAGCCTTCAAGGCAGGCAGTGGGGCTCCTTCCCTCAACAACTGCACAGCCCTGCTCTACCGCTGCCGGCCTGTAACAGCCCCGTGCTGGACAGTCGGCCGCCTGGGAAAGGCTGCCTGGCCTGTGGCTGCGGTTTCTGAGCAGGCCAGAAGACACATACTTCACAGAGCAGAGTCTGCCAGACGCCAAGTGAGGGGAGAGAGCTAGAGTAGGGGTGCACAGGAGAGGGAGGATTCACAGAGTGGGGCAGGGCTGCGAGGGTGAGTGGAAGTCAGGCACAGGAAGGCATTTCAGGCAGAAGAACAAGGCAGCCAAAGACCAACGCAGGATGCACGTGGCAGCCTCCATGGAGGGCTTGGTGGGAGTGGGTTCATTCTGTTATTTAGTGATTCAACAAACATTTGCTGAGGATCTGTGTGTGCCAAGCACTGGGGATGCAGCAGAGACACAGACAGAGAAGGCCCCTGACATCGGGAGCCTCTGTGGCAGAGGGAAAGCAGGGGATAAGCCCATAACCACTTACAGACATACTTCTGCAAAGAAAAACAAGGAGGGCAAGGGGCTGAGAGTGGTTGGCCTGGTCAACCTGGAGCAGAGGCCTGGGTGCCTGGGCCTGGGGAGGGAGACATGCTTCGGGACAGCTCCCAGAGGGGCGGAAGAGGAAGCTAGGCAGTGCCAGGCCCAGGCACGGTGCCATTGGCCCTGCTGCTGGGTGGAATCCCTGTGCTCCTTCATCCATGCATCTCAAACTACACGCAATGGTCTCAGATCCTTTTAAAATTGAAGACAAGCTATGCACACCCCTAAGCAGCATTCCTCCACATAACCACATGCCCCTCACACACACAAACACACACACACACACACACACACACACACACACACACACACGCATATACTATTATGCAAGTTTAAAAACTCTGCCTAGAAGGCAGGGAACGTCCAGGAAATGGCAGAAAGTGGTTCCCATGCCCGAGGCCTTCGGATTCCTGCCCTGCCTCTGGGGCGAAGCTTGCCAGAGCTGCCCTATCCTCCTCTGTGGGCTCCCCTCCACTTGAGTTTGTCGAAGTGGGTTTGTCACACAGGCCCTTTCCCTCCCTCTTCCTCAGAACTGGGAAGGAGCACAGCGCTCCATCTGCTCTCTGTCAGGCCAGCCTCTCTGCTCCTCCCACCCGCGCGCTGGCAGACTCCAGCCTCTGCACTTGGCCCACAGTGCTCACCCTGCCTGGGAAGCCTGCTCCCTTCCCTCACCACCATTCCAAGGCCCTCCTCCTCCAGGAAGCCCTGTGTAGCTACTCCAGCCTGCGTCACCCTCGTCTGTGCCCAGTGAGACCCTATGCTCGGATACTGCTTAGAAGCAGGTCACTGCTGTTGAACATAGTATTTAACTTCAGAGCCACAGCAGCTCGCACGAGTGGAGCACTGAGTTAGGGCTGTCCGGGGGGCTATGTACATATTAACTCATAGTTCTCACACAGACCCTCTGAGGCAGGCACACTGTTGTTACCTCTGATTTACTGACAAGGACCCTGAGGCCCAAAGAGAACAGCGACTTGCCCAGGGTCACAGGGCTAGTGTGACTGAGCCACGGCCAGCCTCAGGGGCTGCTGAGAGCGGAGGCCACGTGTAAAGCCCTCAGAGCGTGTCTGAGGTGCAGGCAGGCCAGCTGGTTCTGCTGACTCTGCGCTGTCCCCCAGCCGCCTCATCACTGCCAGGTACAGACTGTGTCACGTTCTCAAAGAACTCAAGTGAATCGCCAGAGTTACACCACCTGGACCCAGGTCTGCTGAACTCTCAAAGGAATGACGGCCGCGTTTGGTTACAGAGGGGCTGTGGCAGCCTCCTGCCCCCATCTGGGGCTGGAAGCTCCGCCTGCCTGGAAGGGCTGCTGACCAGAAACCGGTTGGAGCGCCTGCCCCACTTTCTGATCACCTGGGGCGTGGCGGGGTGGGGGGCGGTGCAGCCCCGGCGGGCGGGACACGGAGCCGGTGGGCGAGGTCTGCGGTGCTCCGTAAGCTGCGCTGCCTCCACCTCCTGGTCCGCCCCCTGGAGAAATCATTAGCTGTCAGAGCTTCCATCAGATTACAGGGAATTGCTCGTCTCCTAATTATCTGGTGTTAATAGGAGATTAATTAGTGTTAATTGTTGATTTTCTTGTATTTTCCCAAAGGGGAGACCAATCTGCCAAACTCTTGGGCTGTTTAATTATTTGGTCTTGTCTAGGAATAAGACAGATGCTTGTCTGTGCGCAAAGGGGCACCTGCCACACCAAGTGTCCTTCTTGCCCCACTGCCCAGGAGCCACAGAGCCCTCTCCTCTGAGGACAGGTGCGCCAGCGCCCGCCAGGCTGTTGTGACATCACACCCCTCCACACATCAGCGCTCCACAGAGCAGCTCCGCCCTCCAGGAAAGCACTTAACAGGGGCCTGCAGAGCATCAGCACATAGGATTTCAAGTTGACCCGACTTAAGAAAATCAAGTAAAATATGATATAGATTGAAAATGAGCTCTCAGAGGACTTTGCACAGGTGTCAGGTGTCTGTGCTGGGCCGTGTGAGTCCTGCCAAGGTCTTTTCAGATGCTCAGGAGCCTGAACCTTCTGCCTGCTGCATCGCTCCTGCCTGGGGGAGCCTCTCCTATGTCCAGAGTGTCCCTCGCTGAACTGATCCCACCGTAAGCCAGAGCTCCTTAGAACACTGTTCCATCTCCTTACGCCTCCATGAAGACCTCAAACAGCTGCCCACTGCCCACACTGCCCACCTCACTCTCCACTCCTCCTTCCGTCTCTCCAGATCCTTTATAACCTGGGCCCACTACCCTCTGCCCACCCTCCTGCCCACCACACACGCACCACACAGTCACATACACAAGTCTCCTGCCCATCTCTCTCTCACACACACTCACATACACCACAAGCCTCCTGCTCATCACACAAAAACACACACCACACATACACTCACATACACAACCCCTCTGTCCACCACACACACCACACTCACATACACCACACCCTCCTGCCCATCTCACACACATACCACACACTCACATACACCACAACCTTCCTGCCCACCACACACTCACATACACAAGTCTCCTGCCCATCTCTCTCTCTCACACACACACACCTCACCCACCTGCCCATCTCACACACACACTCACATACACCACACCCTCCTGCCCATCTCACACACACACTCACATACACCACACCCTCCTGCCCACCTCACACACACACACACCCTCCTGCCCACCACACACACCCTCCTGCCCACCACACACACCCTCCTGCCCATCACACACACACGCATGCACTCACATACACCACAACCCTCCCGCCCACCACATACACTCCACACACTCCCATACACCACAAGTCTCCTGCCCATCTCACACACACACACACACACACACACACACACACACACACCATCTACCCTCCTGCCCATCACACACACTCTCTCTCGCTCATGAGTACGTGCCTTTCCTGCTGGTCAGTCTGTGCACTTGCCTTTGCCCCACATTTGGGCTCTGCCTATTTGTTAAATGACGGACAGGCAGCAAGCAGTGCTCTACGTGCCCACGTGCCCTGGACCACACCCTAAAGCCAGCAGGGGCACAGGTCTGGGTCCTTTGGTCTCCGTGCCATCCAGGACCCCTCCTCTGCCCTGCTGCCCCGTACCTTGGGGAGGGCCCCGGGCCAGACACGGACAGCCCCGTGGTTGAGCAGGGCCTGAACCACGTACTCCGGGCTCTGGGCCAGGGCCATGGCTGGGCCCTGCAGGGCATAGTGCAGGGCTGTGTGTCCCCCATAGTCCAT